AGGAGGATGAGGCCGGCGCCGCTGCCCTGCTGGTTTGACGAGCCATCCAAGTACAGAGTCCATATTGGGGGCAGTGGGGCCAGTTTCTCAGTGGTGAATGTACATTCTACGATGAAATCTTCCAGGGACTGGGCTTTGATCGCTGGTCGGGGTGCGTACTAGATGTCGAATTCACTTAGTTCCATACTCCACTTGACTAGACGACCATATACTTTTGGCCTTTGTAGTATCTGCTTGAGGGGTTGGCTGGTAAGTACTCGGATGCTATGGGCCTAGAAGTAGGTTTTGAGCTTTCTAGCGGCTGTGACGAGGGCTAAGACTAACTTTCCTAGGTTGGAGTACGGGGTCTCTGCGCCATTGAGGACTTTGCTGGTGTAGTTGATCGGCCTCTATACCCGGTCTTCTTCCTTAATCAACATCGAGTTGACAACCTCGTCTCCAGCCGAGAGGTAGAGCAATAGATCATCCCCTGGGTTCGGCTTAGTTAGGAGGGGCGGCAAGCTCAGGTACTGCTTCAGCTCTTGGAAAGACTACTCACATTTATTCGGTCCAATTGAAATCTTTTGGTCGCTTAAGGGCTTTGAAGAAAGGGAGGCACCTATCCGCAGATTTGGACATATACCTGCTAAGGGCGGCTATTCTCCTGGTGAGTCGTTGCATCTCTTTATGAGTCCGGGGAGATGGCATGTCAATGATGGCCTTTATCTTCTCTGGATTTGCTTCAATCCCTCTCTGTGTTACCAAGAACCCCAGGAACTTGCCGGAGCCAACCCCGAATGCGCACTTGGTTGGGCTTAGCTTCATCTTATATTTTCTGAGGGTGTCAAAGACTTCGTGAAGGTCGGCCAAGTGATGCTCGGCCTTCTCGCTCTTCACAAGCACATCGTCGACATACGCCTCTACATTCCGGCCGAGCTGTTCTTTGAATACCTCATTCACCAGCCGCTGATAAGTGGCGCCAACGTTTTTGTGTTTGAAGGACATTACGTTGTAGCAATACAGGCCGCGGTCGGTGATAAAAGCTGTCTACTCCTGGTCATCCGGATTTGGTTGTAACCCGAGAAGGCATCGATGAAGCTCAGCAGCTCATGCCCCACCGTTGCATCGATGAATTGGTCGATCCTCAACAGGGGGAAGCTATCTTTGGGGCGGCCTTATTTAGGTTGGTGAAGTCGATGTAGATTCTCCACTTTCCGTTGGCCTTTTCACCATCACTATGTTGGCCAACCAATCGGGGTACTTAACTTCCCGAATGAAGTCAGCGTCGAGCAGATTCTATACTTCATCGGCGATCACTTGCCACCGCTCTGTGGCAAAGTTCCTCTTTTTCTACTTTACAGGTCAGTAGCAGGGGTCGACATTCAACTGATGTATGATAACTTCAAGTCGATCTGGGGGCATGTCCGTAGCCGACCAATCGAATATGTTGGTGTTGTTCCTTAGTAGTTGCACAAGTTCTTCTCAGAGGTGGTCATCTAGTAGGGAGCTGACTTGGACTGTTTTCTCGGGATCTTCAAAGAGGGGGACCTAGATGAGGTCTTCCACGGGTTGGCCACACTGTGCCTTTACCTCGTCGCGTAAGTCATAGGCCTCCGCCATCAGTGTCTCAGCGGTTGGATGTGTCCCTTGACAGGAGAGCTGATAGCAATGTTGCACTATTCTCTGGTCTCTGCGTGTCACCCCTATGCCGTACTTGGTTGGAAATTTCATGGCGAGGTAGTATGTCAAGACTGTGGCCTACAGGGCGTTGAGGGTTGGCCTGCCGAGGATTACATTGTAAGAGGAGGGGCAACACACCATGATGAAGTCTACCATGGCTGTCGATGTGACGTCGCCATCTCCGTTCATGAGAGGAATGGTTATTCTCATAGTGGGCAGAAGGGACTCCCTGTGTCGCTCTCTATCAATGCCAAGCTCCCTAATAGTCCCATCAAGGGAGTGTTGACCAGTGTGAGCCGCTCTCTGTTGATGCCGAGCTTCTCGAATGCATATTTGAACAATACGTCGACAGAGCTCCCTGTGTCGACTAAGATCCGCCGCAGCTCGAAGTTAGCCACCTTGGTCGTGATGACCAAGGCGTCGTCATGTGGTGTATGGACCCCTCGGAGGTCGTCACCGGTGAAGGTGATAGATGTGTTGCGTTTCTTCCTGTGCCCTTGGTTGTCGATCTCGCACAGCCAAGCATATCTCTTCTGACCTGAGCTGCTCTCCCCTCTGGCGACAGTTCTCCCTGATATGACGTGGACAATGTCGGCTAGGGGGCCTTGGGGCGACGGTTGTTGATCTTCATCTGTTCTCCACTTTTCTTTGGCTAGCTTCTCACTTCTGTCAATAAAGCTGCTGAGGTAACCACGCCTGATCAGATCTTCAATATGGTTGCGTAGGTCGAAACAATTTTCTAGATCATGGACGTGGTCCTTATGGAACTCGCAGTATGTCTCGGTTCCTCTTGTTACTTTGCGTCTTCATCTTCTTGGGCCACCTGACGTAGTTGCGGTCACGGATTTGCATCAGAATTTCAGACCGTGGAATATTGAGCGGTGTGAAATTCCGGTAGGTTGATGGAGGGGTCCGAGGTCTGTGGTCTAGTCGGCAATCTTGTCTCTTGTGATCTTTGTCCTAACTCTCGAACTTCCGCTCGTCGGTATCTCTCCTCTTCTTGTCGAGCTTCTCATCTTCGTCTCTGAGTTGTGCCTTAGCCTCTTCGGCGTTGATATACTTTTGCGCGCGACTAGTGTTTGGGGAGGATTTTTGGAGATGGAGAACTTGAACGGCGAAGGGCGGAGCCCGTGCTGTACGGCCGTAATTACAACTGATTGGTTCAAGTCTCTGACCTGGAGTGCTTCCTTATTGAAACTCTCCAGAAACTAGGTTTGGCCGAAGTTTTCCAGTGCTTTTGGCTAGCGGTGAACTGCACCAGAAATTGGGTCTCCAATTGGTCCCATGATGTTATGGAGCATGGTGGCAGGGAGGAGTACCATGCCAGAGCTGGGCCTTGTAGGGTGGCTACAAGGGCTTTGCACATCAGTCCTTCTGACGCGCTGTGCAACATCATCTGGGCTTTGAGTGCCGCGACATGGTCGAAAGCGTCAGAGTTTTCGTCATACTTGTCAAACTAGGGGGATCACCATCCAACAGGGAGTATCTCATCCATGATGTCCTGAACGAGGGGCGGCTCCTTGGTGATATGTGCAGTAGCCCGCGCGGGTTGGTCCATGGCGGGTGTCATGCTCTTGTGAGTCTGAGTGCGTTCTAGTTCTTCTAAACATTGCTGGAGCTCTTTGATCTCGGCATCTCTGTCGTCCGGGGCTCCAGTGTGTGTGGCCTTCTCCTTCTTAGGTCGCATAGGGTGATCCATTTACTAAGCTTGACTCGGCAACGGAGACCACAAAGGGCGGCGTCCTCTTGCCGAGCCTTTCTCTGGTGATGATTCGAGTTGACTGGCGTGTCTGGCTGCGGTGATCCTGCTCACTGGAGCGAGCAGAAAAGGCGGGCCTTCGGGTCATGTTCTGTCTCTCTCGCTCGGACCGCGCACCCCTCGCATCAAATCGACGTACTTTGGGGTCCTCGGTCCGAGGATCTTCCTTCGTGTGCATCGACGAGTGAGGGGGGACGACCCTGTTGGGCGGCGCTGCAAACCCTAGTGCCTACATGAACTCGAAGATCCCGTCAACCTTCTCTTGCATAGCTCGGAACTGCGCTAGGTCCACGGCAGTCGAAGGATGTGGGGCTTCCTGATGCAAGGAGCTGTGATCGTTCGGATTGGTTTTTAGGCATCCTGATCCGTTTTGGAGCTGCGCGGCAAAAGATTTTTCGGGAAGACTTTTTGTGTGTTCCCACAGACGATGCCAATCTGATGCTGCTCAATCGGCGGTAGTGCATGAACTGAGAGCAACCAGATTCTTGCTGATTGGGCGGTGCCGAGCTTACAAGGACGATGCCGCGCTATGTAGCATGCGATCAAGGGAAGGAGTCAGAGTCCTGGGGTGTTATCCCCAGGTAGGCGCTCCGATGCTTAAGTCAATGAGAGGGTGGTGGATGGTCAGGCCAAGCAATGACGGTGCTGGTCCGAGCAAAGTAATGGTATGGGTGCTAGAAGTTGGGCTCCCTTACCTCGAGCATGGAGTACTTTTTATAGGCAGGGGGTCCGTCTCCTGGTCGGATTAGGGTTCCGAGATAATTGGGATAGAGCTCTCCACTGAGGTTACCGGAGTAGAGTCCTACTCCTCGGCGGAGTTGTCTTCCCAACCTTATCCGTGTGACGTGTAGCTGACGTGGCTAGAGGGATAAGGCGGGGGAAGCACGATAGTAACATAACTCGACTGGGCTATGCCGACATGACCAAGCTAAGCCAACATGACCGAGCTGAGCTAACATAGCCGAGCTATGCGGATGTGATTGGGCGATGACTGAGCGGCCACGTATCTCTCTGGGCCAGCTCAGCCATGACCTCAACAAAAACTACGAACCGTAATTGTAGTAGACTAGTAGTAATAAAAAGGAAAAGGGGGGGGGGGGGGTTGAGTGCGGAGGGAAAAGAGAAGTGAGAAGAGAAAAAGGAAAGAAAGGAGACGTATGATCAGCACAACCCCAGTGATACGGTGGTGATACCTTTCAGCTTACCTACTCCGAAGAATCTTACCGAGCCGAGCCAGAAACAAAGCAACAAATGAAAAAACAATTGAGTATAGGACATAGAAGTAAAATTTATATTCTGTCGCGAGTACGGTCGTCGACTCGTCGGAGATTCCCACTCGGCTGAGCTGGGAGGCTGGGACAAGTGGTTCCCCCGGTGACTCGTTTGAAAACCGCGTTTACCCAGTGAGGAATCGGATACGCGACGACCCGAGGGTGAGCTTTGTGCTGTCTAAAACCGGCGTTGCAACAGAATCTTCGTGTTCTTTAACTCTATATTCTGGTTTTCCAAAACCACCTCTTTTTGTTATCCCCGGATTCCGGTTTTTTGGCATCTATCACTGTGTATAAATCCTTCTCTCTCCATCCATTTTTTTTTGCTCGTGTTATCTGGACTCGGTTCTGGAGAAACAGAGAGATCTGAGAAAAGCGAGAGAAACCAAATGGGTTCCACTTCGCCGGAATTGAGCTTGGATTTCAAGCCGTGGCAGGCTCCCAAAACTATTTGTTGCTTTCTGAGAGAGCTCTCGGCAATCGAAGATATTCCCGAGCGGTTGTCGAAGCTCGACGAGTACATCAAGAAGCTAGAAGAAGAAATGAAGAAGATTGATGCTTTTAAACGAGAGCTTCCTCTCTGCATGCTTCTTTTGGACGATGGTGGGTTTTTCTTTTCACTCTTTAATGTTGTCTCTGTTTTTAGTTTTCGATGATTATATTTAATGGTTTCCTTTCTTATTTAATTTTCGCTGCAGCTATCATAACATTGAAGGAGCATGCAATGCAGTGTACAACATCTGATGTTCGACCTGTAATGGAAGAATTCATCCCGCTAAAGAGAAATTCCGACGAAGATGGAGCTCCCAAAAAGGAAAATGATTGCAGAGACAAGAAAAACTGGATGAGCACTGCACAGCTCTGGAGCAGCAACGGTTATTCTAACAAGGATAACTGTTACGATAGGAATAAAAAATCAACAGTAGACAGAAAAGAGGTGATAATGAAAATTTTAATTGAAAGAAAATCCATTCTTTCATTTAAATATACATAGGAAGCTTAGTTCAGATGGGTTCTTCTTATTTAATGACAGGTGGGTGAAGATGATCACTCTGTACCTGAGAATGCATTCCAACCATGTAAATACAGGAGCAGGGGAGGGGCGTTTATGCCATTCAAGGGGTATTCTTGCTTCCCTGCAACGGTGGTGAAGGAAGATAAAGATGTCTTACCAATATCTGCGCTTTCGCTCTTAACTCCTGGAATCAGAACTCATAGTATTGAAGCCAGTCCCGGTTATTTGAATTCAAAGAGCATCATTAGTAGCAGAGTGATTAATTCCTCGTCTACCAAACATCATACTCAATCGAATTTACAAAACACGTTGCAGCAGCAGCAATCTTCGAGGAAGCAAAGGAGATGTTGGTCGCCCGAGTTACATCGTCGTTTCGTCAATGCCCTGCAACAGCTTGGAGGATCTCAAGGTTATAATTCAGTACTGAAACAACAGAAGTGCTTTGTATATTGTTGAATTTGTGAAAATGGAAAGTTAGTGACAGTAACGCTGTGATCTTTTTCCTTGTTTCTTCGTTTATGAAAATTCTAAACGAAAATTAATAGGTATCTCTGAACCGGTTACTTCTTTTCCTCTTTTTCTTTCATCTGATTACTCTTTTTATTTTTTATTTGCAGTGGCTACTCCGAAGCAAATCCGAGAATTGATGAAGGTGGATGGACTCACCAACGACGAAGTGAAAAGCCATTTGCAAGTAGGTCTTCTTCTGTTTCTGTTTTTTTTCTTTCTATTTTTTCTGGGTTTAATTGCCCTTTCCGGGTGATGAATTTGCAAATATCATGGTGTTTCAGAAATACAGGCTTCATACCAGAAGACTTCCGGCTGTTTCACCCCCTGCAAATCAACCTGTGGTTGTTTTGGGAGGACTGTGGATGCCCCAAGATCAGTATGGGCCTTCCCCCAAGCCGAGCACTTCCCAATCTGGCTCTCCCCAGGGCCCTCTTCAGCTAGCAGGGGCTGCTGGAGGTCTCTCAACTACAGGTGGTGACAGCATGGAAGATGACGATGATGGGAGATCAGAGAGCTACAGTTGGAAAGGCCACCATCAGAAGTCAGGCGAAGATGATGTATAGGGACATCCACCATGAATTTGGAGATTAACTACCATGAATTGGTAACTAGATCATGAACAAGAACAAATAATACAGCATACAGAATGAAAGACCCTTTGAAAGGATACAGTGAGTGAGTGAGAGAGAGAGAGAGAGAGAGGCAGGGAGGGAGGGAGGTTATGAAATTTTGCAGGTTTCACAAACAGAAATTTTGAAATTTTGTTTTAATTTAGTTTTGGTCGGTATAAGGAGGTCCATTGTAATATCCATTCTGCCTGAACAAAACAGGACAAACTTTTTTTCTAGAACATAAAGATCACTATTTTCTGGAATTTTCAGTTCTTTTTTGTGGAAATGAGGAAATCGTTCGGCTGGAAGAATTCTGGATGTATTATTGCATTTTATAGAAAGAAATATTCCTTTATCTTTTTTCTTTCTTCGCCGGGAAAACTCTGCATGCCTCTCAGCTTCGGTACCCATTTTTGGTCTGAACTGAAGACCCTGAACTCGCCCTCGATTCTAATTCCCAATTCATGATAAATGTCTTTCTTTTCTTCCCATTTGATCACTTAAGTCTTGATATTGCCACTTTTTTGGGGTGGAGGGGAGGGGGGACACATTTAGGTTTCATTTTTCTTTTCAAGTTACGACAAAGATAAACCAGTTTTTTGGATTGCTGGACAATTGTTTTATCATATTTTCTCCCTGTTTCTTAGAATTCATCTACTTTATTTATAAGGGTCAATAGAAAGAAGGTACTTAATCCTTTATATAAGCCAAAAACAGTATGCATCTATCATTTCATGGTTCACTGAAGGTGTATAGCTCTATGTCTCTGTAACTTACAATCTCTTCTTCTGTGACCAACTTTTGAAGCTCCTAACAAAAACTCTGGGCGACAAGACTGGACAAAAACCAAATATTGGTTATTTACAGGAGAAGAATAAAGACAATGCCTCTTTTCTCATGTTGGATATTGATGGTCCTCCTTATATTCATGCTTATTCTCTAATCCAATTCAAGTCAAATTACAACTTGGTGATGGATAAAAACAAAGTGGGAATCATTAAAGAACACCCCAACTTTATAGTTGCTTGTCCCAACTAGCAAGCTGAGAGAAGCTAAGACCATTACTAGCTCATATCCTCTCTCCATTTCCTTGCTAGCAGATGAATTCCAATCCTATGTGCATCTATTGTTCCCCGACAATGTCATGTGGAACCAAATGCTACGGAATCTTACCGGATTCCTTGTTGCTTCTTCCTGGAATTTCCCTTTATTCGGTTGTTGATGCTGAGTTCATCAAATTAGTCAATCTCTCCAGTAAATTTCAGCACAAGCTTGACTCGTTGGAATGATTAGTTAGAAGCAACCTTTGCTTGAGGAAAACTTGAATTTTCCATGGAGAGTGACAGAGAACAACACTCTTTTAACCTCTGAGAGCAGTTCCATTTCAAATCCAACATGGGTTTGGTTAGGATATCAGATTATCCATGACTGTTAAGGAGTATAATACTCTAAAGTTGCCTTTGCATGGCATCACTGACAAGTCGAGATTTGGGCGAGAACTGATGAAACACAACAGAAAGGACTGTGGGATGAAGCTTTGTCATGCCATAACAGTGTTACCTGTTTCAGAAGGCACTCTTCAACTAACAAACTCACTAACATAATTCCAAATCCACAACTATAATTACCTTAAGAACAAAGCAATGCATTTTCCAAGAATTACTCAAAATTTACAATCTGGAGCGATATGACTATATACACTGTACAGTAACAGAATACAGATAATATGGATAGGAAGAAGGGGGGATTTAGAGTTGGACAGAACAGTCACTTTCATGAAAAAAAAGGACTAAAGTTGAATCTCTTGGACAAGATATGGTGAGCCCACATAGATATTGTGATTCTAGAATCAAACTGTTATAGTGCATTTGAGTGAAAATGATGGGAACCTCTAAATTTCTTTGGATCCCAAAATTTAAATAATTATATTATATATAATCTGGTCTGTATCTCTCTCTAGTACTTCTACTAGTATCAGTAATGGTAGCTGGCATATGATGGATTATTTACAGGACGCACAGAAACAAGCCATATTATTGGCCACAAAGAACAAATACACCCATAAAAATTCCATCCATCAATGCTTATTTTTATTTAACAACTGAGCAGAGGCATTGGCAGCAAAAGAGGCTCTTCACATGGCAATGAAACTGGGAGGGCATAGAGACTTGAATAGGAGACTCAAGAAACAAGAAGTGTAATTGACACTATCAATGGAGTTGTGCTCTCCTTGTTTACTGTGAACATTATTCAAACATCTAGAGAACCCTCCCACAAGCCTCTTTGAAACTACATAGACATCAATATGTCATTGATGGGGTGAGCTGTAGCCTCTAGCCTGTAGGGGAAATATCAAATATGGGTTGGATAGTCTCGTTGCATTAGATCCGGTTCTGATGGTAACAAGGAAGCCTCAAGAGCAACCAAACTAATTTTTTCAAGATCATGACGATCTGATCTACAGTTGGGCCAGCACTGATACGTGATTCCTTTGTTGGTAGGTCCCAAAATCATGAGAGAGTGGGAATGTAGGATGAGTTTAACCATTTGATTCGGCTGATTCATCTTGCACGGTGAAAAAAGAAGATGGCCCACCTACATGTAAATGTAAAACGATTCCGAACCCCCTCTACGGTAACCGGATGATACAAACCAGCCCAATTTCCATAAAGCAGGAACCTAATGTGGTGTAGATATTTCGAGTAGAACAGGAGAGATGGTCCTACCTTTTCCGTTCAACCACTAAATAATTACGTATCACATTAACACATTTCTCCTTCTTCCTTTTTCTCAACCGGGTAGGGGAGTAGGAGTAGGAGTTGGGAGTAAAATTGATGAATGCAAATGGGAGAGACTGGAGAGGCTTTCCTCTTATCCGTTGGAGCGTAGTCAATGAATGTACTTGATCATAAAGTATAAAGTGGGGGTGGTGGTACTTACAGGATGGGGCCCCGACCCGACAGCCTGGGTGGCAATCTCTCAAGCCTCTCTCAACATGGGTATGATGACTACGAGCACTTGTTATAGACAAGATCCCGAAGCATGAAATGGGTCGGGTCAAATAAATTTCCAGGTAATTTTAGTCGTCATTTGAAAGCCTCAATTTTGTCATGTTAATAAATTCCAGGAAAAAATGCTTAGTTTGGCCAGGTGGCAAGTATGGGCTATTGGGTCGAGAGTCTAGACATATGCATCAAAGAGGATAGAGAGTTTGGGCCACCAATCATGCTGCCACATGTATATTCTCTCTCTTAATTTTTTCTGTATACAACTCAAAAACAAGTGTTTAAAACGAGTGCTTATTTGAATAATATATATTTGTATTTGGCACCTGACTTTTTTATGTATTTATTTGAATAAACACTTATTTGATATTGGGCATTTGATAGTCTTTTTCTCTGATAAATATTTATTCATTTAAAAAGATAACTTTAACCCTTGTTTTAAGAGTGGCATATCTAATGACTTTAACTTGGACACAGCTTGATTTGAGTTTAGAAAATCCAACATTTAGGAAGAAGATAAACTGGTATTCACAGAAACAAAAAAAAAAAAAAAAGGATTAGGGCTGGACGCATGTAATGGCTGATCAGTTGAAGATGAGAAAACATTTGGAAAAAAAAAAAACGAGAAGAGAAGAAACTTTCACCAACCTGAACACAAGAGCCTCTAGTCCGAACTAGGAGTAGTTCCGCCGTTGGTAGAGTCTGAGGGAAGAACGGAAAAGAAACCTTCACCAAACAGAACCAAATCCTATGTTACTTGATCAAAGGGCAATATTGGCATTTTGAAATATAACCATGGATTATTTTGGAAGTAAATTGTTGAATAAGTGATTATTGTATAAGTACTTAAAAATAAGATGGAATTTTGAGCTTCTTGAATAAACACATATTCTCAGAATAAATACTTATTTTTAAACACTCCCAAACTTGGCCTAAAAATCTCGAGTCTACATATATGAACCATAACGCATTTTGGTCGTATATGTGGACAACATGCTCTCATTCTCTTGAACCCCTTTGGTCTATAATCAAACCTCTTCATAATTCAGAATCATGATAAAGATGGAATCTATAAAAAGAGGGTAAATTTATCAACAGGAACCAATGGAAACACTGAACCTCAAGTACAGCCACTGCTTCAAGTCTTCATTTTGGATGACAAAACAGGGATGGTCCGTCGCATTCTCCCTCACCAATCCTTGAATCGATCAATCCTTTTTTACTTTTATGTTTTTCAGGTCTAAAAAATAAACAGCTTTAGAGATAAGGTTCACTTGCCAAGGGATTATGGTTGTGGGGTTCACCTGCCAATATTGATACAAATCAATATATTTATCATCATAATATAAAAGCATATAGAATTACAAGTTTTAGATTCAGTTTGCGTGAGGGCTTATATTGGGAGGTCAAAAGGAGTTGCGATCTGCTCCTAATAAAAAGCCATCCCAATATATTATAACATGATCTATGTCTGTACATCTCAGACGTGATGGGATCTGTTTCTCAGAAATGGGCGCCTCACAGACACATCTACCGTGCATTGAGAACATCTCCCATGAATAAGTACAAAAATATTTCGAATACATGATAAGATGTGCATGTGAGGCGTTGGATTTTAATCTCATAAGAGATTAAATCCAATGGGTTTGATTGGTCAATTACATGAGAAATTGCACCTACACTTGATTGAAAATCAGTTTTCTCTTACAAAACCCAATTTTGAACTTGTCCCACATTGGAAAATTATAAGTTTTGTTTTCAGCATTTCAATAGGAGCTGATTTACACTCTTTAGAATTAGTAGAGGAGAGTATGGGGATTCAATACCGCGCAACGCGCGTGCGCGCGTGTGTGCGGTGTTCAATGTGCCTTTTCTAAACCAACACCTACCTTTTCTTCATACCTCTTCACAAATTATTTAAAGAGCATGAATCAGACTCCAAATCATACAATTTTGAAATTCACTCACACTCTCTCTCTCTCTCAGTCCGGTCTGCTACAGTATCACAGAAGGTTTCTTTAGAGATTCTTCAACTTTGTTGGTTGTAGATTCTCGCCCAAGGCTCTGTTGTATCTTGTGAACGAATTTGCTTATAACCCAATAGCAAACTCAGTAAAACTGAGTGAGGGGCAAATAACATTCTAAAGACAGTGTCTTTAGACGTGCTTCAAAACTTCTCCTCCAAAGTTACAGTAACCCATCTAATCCAACACATGTGAGGCGCCAGGTGTAAGGAGGAGATCATGTCTCATCTCAGACATGATGTTGATGGAACCCAATAGTGAGATGGGAGGCCACGGATCATGCTGGAACAGTTTTACGTTGGGAGCAGTCAAATGTGGAGTCCTTAGCGTCATTATTTTTTCTGCCCAATATGCTATCTTGATACCATTCATATGCCTCCGGATCTGTTACCACCATAATTTCCAATATGCATGATCTGTAATTTCACATCTGACATGTATCCGGATCTGCTATCAACATGGCTTCCAAACATGATAAATAGCCACACATCATGTTCATAAGCAAATATGCACAAATAGACGTATCAGGTGTTTTGATATTTAGGCTGTGTTTGGTTATAGTGTAATTTTATTTGCATTAGTTCAAATGTATGAGAGTGTAAATGTAAAAAATATAAATTTTAGTTTAATTTTGTTTTAGATTTTACTTTATTCTGTTTTACATCTTAATTTATTTTATTTGTACTGCAATCAAACAAAATAAGCTAAAATTTAAAACAAAAATGTCAAAATTTGCACTGCCATGATTTTGCATCAGTATAAATTTATTTGCATTGCAATCAAACACAGTCTTAATAACTTCTTTTTTTAGTTTTTTTTTCAAAATTATTTTAGAGGTTTTAGGCTTGCCTGCCCCCTGAAACAGCCCAAATTCCGAAACACCCCTTATTTGGGGCTTCGGGAAGCTATCAGTATGACAGGGTGTATCTTATCAAAATTTTGAACCTTGTTTATAAGTTGTATTAATGGCATCTTGTTGGTAGTTGATTCGGACTTCTTTTATATGAAAGTATATAATGTAGGTGTATTATTACACTATTAACTTATGCTGGAAACAAAAATGTTCCTGCTAATTGGTAAGGTCTTTAGCTGGTTGTAGAAGACACAAGATTGAATTTCGTCTGCAATTGGGCAATTATGGGTTTGGGGATGGGCTACCCCATTGTATAGCCACATGGACAAAAAAAGGGGGATTTTACTGTTCAATCCACCCAACAAATCTTATCTCCATCCTACAATTGGAGTTGGTGCCAGCTTGGAATTGATGCTAATGTACGAGTGGGTATTGATGAGGGTAGATTTGGCCCTCCAATGATATTGTAACACATGGCACCTTGGAACAATTAGGTGACACCCGGAACCACTTAGGCAACAACTTTCCTTAGCCAAGTTGATGGTGTCCCACCTAGCGGCCTGGCACGGGCGCAAATTGGTAGCCTGACCCAAGCGCAACCTGGCAGCTTGGCCCTGGCGCGAACTGGCATCCCGGCACAGGCGCGAATTGGCGGCCTAGCACAGGCATGAACTGGCGGCCTGGCACAGGCGCCGACCTGGTGGCCTGGCATAGGTGCTGACCTGGCGACCTACGAGACGTGATCGCCAACAAATTCGGCATGCATATCCAAACGTGCTCGCCGACAAATTCAGCATGCATATCCCAACACTCCCACGATCATTGGAAGTTGGTCCACGTGCCGAACGATCCGGAGGGTGGTCAATGTGCATGGCGCTTACCTCAGGGATTCTCGGACCACTTAAACAACTTCTCAGGAATCTCGGATGCGGTGCGTGAAGCCCACGCCAAACTATGCCTATATAAAGGCACCAACCCCAATGGCATGGGGGGCAAGTAAGCATATTCTAGCACTCATACTTTGTGATTTTTAGCTCGCAGTCTACTATGAGAGTACTGACTTAAGCATCGGAGCGACCTTGCTGGGTTAGCCACCTCGGGTCCTCTAACATTGATTCCTTGTAGGTCTCTAAAGAACGACGGAGCTCAACAATCAATCCAGATCGCCACCAGGCAGTTCGACCCACTGGTAAGCTTGGTACCTAATAGGCAGCTCAGCCCTCTGGTCAACTCGTCACCTAATAGGCAGCTCGGCACTCTAGTTAGTTCGGCACCTAATAGGCAGCTCGACACACTGGTCAGCTCAGCACCTAATAGGCAGCTCGACACTCTGGTAAGCTCATCACCTGACCTGCCTAGCTTGGCCCAGTCAGCTCGTCACCTAACATGCCTAGCTTGGCCGATTCAGTTCGACACCTAACCTACCCAGCTCGGCCCAATTAACTCGGCACCTAATTTGCCCCCAGATCGGCCTGGTCAGCTCGGCATCCAGGTTCTCATCCAGCAGAAGTTCACTTCGGCTTTTGAGTCATCAGCCACTTGGAAGTAGACCAAATGACGAGGTACTTAGCACAAAAAATTGATACATCACCAAAAATTAATTCATCAATTGGTGCCGTCTGTGGGAAACGCTACAAAAAGCTAAGTTCTCATCCTCCGAAAGGCTAAGTCCTCTTCTTCCAGAAAGCTAAGTTCTTACCTTTTAGAAACTAAAAGCTCTCACATTTTAGTTTCCATTTTTTATGAAATCAAAGACTATGCAGGAAGTTGATGGCCAACCGACTAAGCAACTCTACCAACTTTATTTCAACTCGGATAAAGCCTCATCAGTCCTCTTTGCGAGGTACCCTCTACAAAGATGAGCTCTTCGTGGCTTCCGCAGGAGTAGGCGGCCAATAGACTGCATGGACGCCCCTGCCAGTTGAGCCTTCCAAGGCTCGCGTGCGCGTTGGTGACCTAAAGTCAGTAGTGCTACCCCCGTAGGTCGAGCTCCTAGTAGCTTCTTGTAGGAGTGGGTAACCGACGTCACTAACGAGGCTGATGCAGCGCAGTCGTAGCTCTAAGGCGCCGACCTGATAAAAGACCTCGACACCACATAAGACCTAGTTGCCTCTTCGGCATGGGCAAAATCAAAGATCAAGGAGAGTGGACTACGAGTTTCTCCCAGAGCCTAAGGGCTAAAGTGCCAAACTGGCAAAGACTTCGGCACCACATAAGACCCAGTCGCCTTTTCGGCATGGGCAAAATCAAGGGTAAGGAGAGTGGACTGCGATTCGCTCCCAGAGCCTAAGGGATTGAATCGACGCTTATGAGCTCATCGAATTAGTCATTTCATGCCAAAAGGAGCAATCTACTCCCTTTGCCGAGTTGCTTTCAGCTTAGGAGTGGGAGGCAAATGATGAGGGCGGATTTGGCCCTCCAATGATATTGTGACACATGGCACCTCGGAACAAGTAGGTGACACCCGAAACCACTTAGGCAACAACTTGCTTTAGCCAAGTCGATGGTGTCCCACCTGGCGGCCTGGCACGGGCGCGACCTGGTGGCCTGGCCTTGGCGCAAACTGGCGGCCTGGCACAGGCGTAAATTGGCGGCCTGGCACAGGCGCGACCTGGCGGCTTGGCCTAGGCGTCGACTTGGCAACCTAGCACAGGTGCCAACCTGGCGACCCGCGAGACGTGCTCGCCAACAAATTCGGCATGCATATCCCAACACTCCCACGATCCTTGGAAGTTGGCCCACGTCCCGAACGATCCGGAAGGTGGTCAACGTGCATGGCGGTTACCTCAGGGAATCACGAACCACTTAGACGACTTCTCAAAAATCTCAAATGCGGTGTGTGAAGCCAACGCCAAACTATACCTATATAAAGGCACCAACCCCAATGGCATGGGGGCAAGTAAGCATATTCTAGCTCTCATACTTTGTGATTTTTAGCTCGCAATCTATTATGAGAGTACTGACTTAAGAATCAGAGCGATCTCGTCGGGTTAGCCACCTCGGGTCCTTTGACATTGATTCTTTGCAGGTCTCTAAAGAACGATGAAGCTCAACAATCAATCCAGCTCTCCAACAGGCAACTCGGCCCACTGGTCAGCTCAGCACCTAATAGGCAGCCCGACCCTCTGATCAGTTCGTCACCTAATAGGCAGCTCGGCACTGGTTAGTTCAGCCCCTAATAGGTAGCTCGACACACTGGTCAACTTAGCACTCTAGTCGGCTTGTCACCTGACCTGCCTAGCTCGGCCAGTCAACTTGTCAACTAACCTGCCTAGCTCGGCCCAGTCAATTCGGCACCTAACCTACCCAACTCAGCCCAGTTAACTCGACACCTAATCTGCCCCCAACTCAGCCTGATCAGCTCAGCATCCAGGTCCTCATCCAACAAAAATTCACTTCGACTTCTGAGCCATCGGCTATTTGGAAGCAGACCAAATGACGAGGTACTTGGCACAAAAATTGATACATCACCCAACTCAGCAAATCTGCAATATATTTCAAATTTCTGACGTGGAATGCAGTGTAGTTATCCAAAAAAAAAGAACTGTTTACATCAATAAATACTCTAAATAAATACTCTAGAAGTAAAAAGTCACCCTAGGAATAGGAGAACGATTTGGTGATATTGGCCCAAGCAGCTGAAAATCGATGATTTACTAGCAAAAGATTGATTACTAAAAAAATCTAAAATAACAAAAAAAATGTTAAAAACAGAGAAGGGTTATTAACTCAACCATTTGAACCGTTGCTGACCCAAACCATCAAACCACTAACCTAGAACCGGCGGCCAAAGCGGTTCCCTTTCCGGAATGACCCAGTTCTTAAAACCTTGTCAAGATGTATCAGAATGACCCAAGTCCAAAGAAAATAACAGGAGGAAGAGAACAAGGCAAACTCTGAAATATAAAACAGGCGGATGACACTCAACACATCATCTCCGATTAATCAACGGCTCAAACAACTTTTGTGACATAGAAAATAGGATTTATATCCGAATGGTTAAAAAATAACTTTGTACAATAATTATCTACAAGAAGGAATAAACGGTAATATGGGACAAATCATAAGTGGTATGGAGCCATATCCTGCAACAACAGAGTCCAAACTTCAATACTGTTACCATAAAGATATTGTTCCATAATTTCTGTTTTTCATTTGGTAGCCAAGACAACGGATAACTATAGCTGAACCGTTTATTTCAGCAAGATAAGCTCCCACTATTCAAATTTCCACAGTGTCATTCTGGGCCGACGATTCACCAGTTCCTGATGCCCTCGTTCTAACATTGTAGAGTCATGCAGCTGGAGCAGTCGTTTAACCCAGGGAGGGTCCCTTTCATCGATCCACAGGACCTCACCAGTATCTTTGTGCTTAAAATCTGGACTCTTAGAATTGGTTTTCCCACGCCTATTGTCCCACCATTCGTAAGTATTGGCAAAAAATACTTGCCACAAATAAAGACGGTCTCTCTTCTTCTGTTCCACGTCTGAAGAATCTAAACATAGCATCAACCGAATGAACATTTACAATATTAGTTCTTATCTCTCCCGTGTTTATACTTTATACCAAGTTTAAAAATATGAATCATAGCATGTCATATGATATGTGATGTTTTCCAGGGTCACCAATATGCTAATTTGTAAGAGTTTGGTTATTTTAATATCTGATGTGACGTTCCAACTATCATATTATCAAACAAAAAAAATAAGAGAATCGATTGAAACAAACTTTTGATACGCTAAGTTTTCATATCAAGACTCAAGAGTATCGGTACTTCGAACCATGGTTTTTACAAACAAATCATGAATTTGCTAGAAACACGTACTTGAGATGAAAACAATACACCACAATGAAGTGTAAAGCATAGAAAAAACTGTCACCAATGCTTGTACGAAATTGGTCTACACCAGGAGGGATAACCATATGAATACTTCTATTTGGGTGGTGGAGTAGGGTGAAGGCACCTAAAAGAAGAAGTGATCTGTTGCAAGTTGAAGGGACAAAGGCTAGGGGTAGACCAAAATGGACATGGGTTGAAGTAGTTAGGAATATAAGTGCCCATAATTTAACAATTGATATGGCTTTAAACAGAATGGAATGGCGAAACAGGATTTATGAAGCTGATCCCATATAGTTGGGATAAGGCTTGGATGATGATGATGATGATTAGGATGAAAGGCATATAAATCTGTGTGTGTAGGTGTACCTGAGATTAGGTCCTAATCCATTCCACCCTTCCCAAGATCCTAGATTGCTGGGACCTACATTGGTGGGCAGTTTATGGTCTCATGTCCATATCTGGAACTCCAGAGACACTACCAGTTTGGCAGGCTGGAAATCCTCAAAATTTCTAAAATTTCTGTTTTAGACAATGCTATAATGCCATGGAGCCGAATGCTGGAGAAGGTATATCGAATGAAACTGATTTTAGTTAATCAGTCTATTAACAAACTAGTTCCTCTGCTGATGCATGCCTATAATTGAACCGAACCTATTCCAGCTAAATTGGAAATTAGGATGTTAAGAGGTAATGGCTTGAGAAATTATGAATAATGAGTATGCTAAGGAATTTCAACTTGGAACTTGAATTAGTCATATATTTTAATAGAGAAAAACACCAGCAACAGAAACATACTCTTATCAGACATGCTAGATGTGGAGATTGTTTCTTCTTTTGGCCCTGATTTCTCAGGTTTCTGGCAGCATTGCTGTCGACCATTCTGTGCTACATAGTTTAATTCCTTTACAATTACCTGTGAGAAGTTAATAATATGAAAGAGTATTAACCTCATGAAAGCCATTTTAGGGAAAAATCTACAAGAAAGAAATGGAATCTAATGCAATTATAAGTTGAAACTTTAATTTGAACTTAATAACTCCATCTATCACACACAAAACAGGCTCATGCATAAACCAATGTCAACTAATTAAATAATTCTTAATATTGGCAGATGGATCGGAAGAGAGATGAAGTACAAGAAAGATGAGAAATGTTGGCAACAGATCATTGTTCCAGGGGGTTTATAAGGTACATCCAGAAAGACCACTGCAGACCATGACCTATCATTCTCCAGCAAAGTGTTATCCTCAACCACGTTGGAATCCAATAAACATTTATGAAAAAATTTGAGCAACAGAGGTTATATGGTAAGGCTCTTTCCAGCCTTGTGAACCAGCAAGGCTATAATATTCTGGGCAATAATAATTATTACAAACATTTTAGGACTTCATTAAGTGACAAATTTAACTAAGTGCAAGGAGTGGGAACTGAAGCATGGAGCAGAATGAAAAGATTGGAGTGAAATTTGAAAAGCTCAGAATTTTTGTAGTGGTGAAGAGCATATATATGTGCATAAACAGACATCTATGTATGTATTTTCTTGTAAGAATATAAATGTTAGTGTTGTCAAATTGATGGGTCAATGACTAGTTGTTTGGGCCTTGCTATGTGATGAATCAACTAGTAGGGACCTGGATGCAAGGTTCAAAGTATCGATAGGATACATTCGATACATATCATATCATATCTTGGGTTCAGCAATATGCTTATTTAGGGGAGTTAAAAGATTCCAGTTTTTTTTATATGATAAAAGGTGATTTGATAAGACCACTGTGAAAAGATATGGCAAGATAGATAGATAGATAGATGGTGAGAGAGTTTTAGGCAACACAAACTCGCAATACACACACAAAAAAAAAACAAAACAGAACAAAAAATGCATATCAATATGAACCATGCCTGGATGTTAAATAGTTGATTGTATGAAATAACTTTATGATCAGAATGATGACATGGGGCTGGTAGTCTTGTCAATCTACAACAGAATGGTCCAAATGCTTATAGTTGTCTTGGTTTTGGTGTTTATGTGCAAATTTTTTTGATGGATTTATGTGCAAAAATAATTAAAGGAACAGAGAGAGAGAGAGAGAGAGCATTAAGCATGTCATATGTTTCAACATACGGGCTATAGACAAGGTGGAACACTTTTCAAAGGTGGAACGCATTTCAAATTTTAAACCATCAGGAAATTCTATTTATGAACTGCAAAGTAAGGATTCTAGAAAATTCTTCAGAGACAATTCCTTTTCAGAACACTTGAGTCACGGATCAAACTAACTTGGCCCCTCATGTTGGTGGTCCCGGTCTCTAAGGATTTGGTCCACCATCATGAAAATGAGGATTTATCTCAGCAAATGCACATGTTCAAGGCAACTTTCTATGGCCAGAGCAGGCAGTGAATCATTAGGCTCATAGACTGGCAGTTCACGCTTCAATGTATTTCACTCTGGTTAAACCACCCAAACCTCAAGAGTAATAAGAAGACAAGAAAACAAAAAGAATTGACAAAAACAACACAGACAGCCTAACAAAGAAAATGGGCACCCTATATTGATTTTCCAAAAAAAAAGTTCACAGATGTTTAGTCTGTATGAATTGTTTGAACAAGTACTGCAGATAACCAATCAAAGAATCAAAAAAAAAAAAAAACCAGACAAGACTGAGCATGAGCCTAACCTAACCTAGGGAGTATGTCACATCTGAACACTTGGACAATCAAATTTGACGAAGGTTTTGAAACTCTAGTTCAAGGTACCCATATGTTGAATGAAATATAAATTCTAAATAATAAATGAAACAGTGAAAAATATTAATATTTGTTAACCTTGTAATACATTTTGAGCTCTCCATTTGCATCAACCTTTTTATAAGAACCTAATTGACCTGAAACATAAATAAGATCATTTCGTCTCAAATGTTTGTATGATGTTTCTCCCATCTTGTCCCACATACTCAGTAAAATCCTGTTCATAAACTGTACAAATGTTAGCTTGTTTTGTTGCAGCAATTGCAGACTTAAAACATAAAGGAAACCAAGTTCAAAGAAGGGATCTAAAAATACGGTGTATCCTGTAAAAGATGTAGGGAAAATATAATGGCATGTCACAGTCAATTGAAATTTGTACAAATGTACCAGCGATGATAATCAAGAAAAAGAAAATTCCTAACATAAGATAAATCTATGCACACTTTCAACTTGATGGATCTATTGTATGCCAAAAGCAAATTTGTAAAAGATGAAAAAGCATCCTCCCAGATAGTCTCAATATGAAGCTCAAGGAAAATGCTTCAGACCTCAAATCAGAAACTTACACCTTAAGGTATTGCACTTTTTGAGTTCCTTACAGAAATATACCTTAACCATTAAATAAATAGAGCTCTCATCATAAGATTGGTAGTTGCTTTTCTATTTTTTAATTGTCTAACAAATCAACAATTTTACTAATTCATTAGCAACAGTTATATATTTGAAAACCTTTGGGCTTCCCCAAGCTAAGAGTTTCTTCAAAAGGATTTCAAGGGTTTGAAGTGCAAACAATGCAGTTTTCCTCATGACTAGTTTCAACAATTTATTGAAATCAACATTGGCAGTTTCTATTACTTATAATATAACCAAATGATAAAACAGAATTGTTCTCCAAATTTTAGAAAAAAATGGAATGCTACTCATTATTCAGGCATTTCCTGCAGTTTAGCAATTGTTTCTAGTCTTTTATTTGATGGTTGGATCATTTAAAATCTTGAATAAATATATGGTTCCCCATTGCTTTCCTTGATTATACTATGTCTTCTCACTTTAATTCATTGTTTATTCTTGAAAAGAGATCCCATGAAGTTAAGTAACATATTTTCCTATTAAATAGTGGTCAAAACCTCAGTATTGCACTTTAATCTTCAAAATTTTCTTGCCCTAGTGTTGGACGGTGTAGAAAACTAGAAACAAGTTAGTAGGAAATGCAAAATAACCAAGATGATAAGCGCTCGGAATAGAGAAACCAAGACATACAATGGACAGATGGGGCACTATAAACAATTAACTATGAAAGAACAACTAATGATAACCAAATAGGAGTAATAAGTGATCAGTATTTGGTCACAACAGAGTATAAGAGTAAAATATTGTGTACCCAACAAATTATGCTCAATTTGAGAAACCACATCACACCTTGAACCTTCCCAACAACAAATTTTGATCACATAAATATTAAACTTAAACTGTGTAAGCATGCTGCCCTCTGTGGGGCCCAGGTTATCTTAAATGCCCTATGATACCTGGAAATCTATAAATAGATGTTGCATAGTTTATGAGATTAGATGCATAAAGTTGTTTGTGTGATAAATAAAACAAATTGCAAATGATCTGGTCAAGTCACGAGTAGATGGTTGTGATTAACCAGGAAAATACTTGTGGACAAGCTTGTTTCTGCTAAGAACTTTTTTTTTTTTTGAGAAAAGGTAATGCATTTCATTAAAACAACTGAGAGAGATCACAGACTTGCCCAATAAGTCACTAAGCAAGATAGGAAAAAAAAAACAATTTTATACATCCCCAAAGACCACTATTTATAACTCATACAAAAAGAGTGGTGTACTCAAAAAAGGAGCTGTAAGGACATTGTACCACAAAAAGGTCACTATCCAAAGATATTTATTCGGAATGCCTTGAGATTATTGAAGAATTTGTGGAGGTTCTCCCTCATTTTGTCAATGAGCTCAGCAATTCTTAAAAGATGAAAAAAAAACATTAGAAAAATGAGTGTGTGCCCTTGCATAGACTTAAAAAAAGACTGACCGTTTTAAGATAATATATTGTGATGAACGTATTTATTTCAATCCTGTGAAAGATTCCACTGCTATTAAAGGGGAGGGCAGGAAGTGAACACCTAAACAACTAATTTAATCAATCAATCACATTGAATTCATATATAATATATGAGGAAAAGAAAACTCAACTCAGCCTTAGACCCAACTATTTGGAGTGCTAAACAAATCCTGTCCTGCCATTATGTTCTATCAAGAGCCCTGTTTTCTGCCAAATTATAAGTCCATGAATCACATTTTCTTCAGTCTTCCCCTTGCTCTTTTAGAGCTTTCTACTTTCATTAGATACTCCTTACTGGTGCAATCATTGGTCATCTTTTACTTTTTTTATAAGTCATTGGTCATCTATGAACATGACCTCATCAGTCGACTTCCATCATCTTTTTGCTATTTGGAGCCACCTCCAAGTCCTCTCTGATCCATGTATTCACTTCTGATTCTACCCATTCTAGTCATTGCTACTCATCCATCTTAACATCCTCATCTCAGCTATTTTCATTTGTATAATATGGTATTTCTTGATTTTCAAGCACTCTGTCCCACGCATTAATGCTGGTCTAATGACTTTCTGGTAGAATTTTCCATTTACTCTTGTTTGTCACTTAGAGATAATCTCCAAGCTTGGCACTTCGAGCATATGACAAATATAAATAAATCAACAAATCGACAACTAAATAACAACTAACAAAGCATGCAATAATTATAACGGAATACGGCAAGAATGTAAACTAAAATTTGAGTAATGAGAAATCACCTGAATGAACGTTCCGGACAACGGGAGGATCTGACTTCGAGGAAGGTACAAACACCGAAACGATCAGGAACACAGATCTTCTTCAAGGGAAAAACGACCGACCCAATAAAGCTAACAGAATTATAGAACTGTTCCCGCCATTTGATCGTCGTCGGACGCTGAAACCGAAGCTTATGGCGGTAAACGGGGCTCCCACCGTCGGGATCATCGGAAAAGTAATCAGAAAACTTAGGCTTAACCACTGAGGAGGAGGATGAAGAGAAGGGGAGTAGCTTCCGCAGAGAACAGGGAGCAGCGTTTCTAAGTAAGGTGGAGAAACGGGACAGCTCCATGGCTTTGCTACGAGCGAAAACATTTTAGGGTTTCTTCTTCCTTAGGAAGAACCCATCGCTCCTTGAACGGTGATTTCCAGCGGTTTGGATAAATTTCTCGGCAATATTCGACGTCGAGAATTTTGGCGGCATTCTGCTGGGAAAGCAGTTGGTGTAATGGCCTTTCAAATGTCCGTTTATTAATGGAAAAAACCGAAAAACAGCTGGGACGAGATTCTTGTCTCTTGATCAGGAATTAGGGATTAGGGTTCTCATTTTCCCCGGCTTTTGCTAGTTGCTACTGTGCGGAGTGCCCGGGATCCGGAGTTCTCGGTATATTACATTCATCACCTTCTAAACTGGATTATTTACGTCTCTACCCCAGCGACAACGAATAATGCCCAAATCAATGGTTATGGTTTTAATGGGATGGGCCAGTTCGTAAGACTTCAGAACCCAGTTTGATATAAGGCCCATCTAGATCTAGTCTAGGTTCATAAAAATTAAATCTAAAATCTAAATAATAGTATACTTGTGCACTTCACCATATATCCACATATCTCGTTGTCCAATGGGGGTAAGGGATATATGACCTTTCTATAGATTGAGTTGGGTTGGAGGCCCGACATGACCAGTCCAAAATTCTGACCAATAATAATTATTTACGTTGTAATTTGTTCAAGTTGAGTTTGGATGGATTAAATGATTATTTTTAAGTATAATTACATAATAGGGGAATATGTATTTAGAAAAAAAAAAAAAAGAGAGAGAGATAGACAAATATACCCAGGTACGAGAAGCTGAATGTGATTGAAACATACACGTCTTGAGACTTCCGTTGTCCACGTCTTGTTACAATTTATATTAGGTCCAACACATACATGGTCCATTGAAACCCATACTTATATTCTGTTAATGGACCAGATATTGCTTCAATCTAACCCAGTCCAGTATAAATTCATCATGGATGGATCAGGTCCAATCCAATTCAATAAATATTTTGGAGTATTAAGTCTGGACTGGTCCAATTCAAAATGTCTTACCAATAAATTCTATAGGATTAATTTAGAAATAAAATGTATATCGCACATCTGAAACATCTTCTGTACTTGCATGTTTTTATTCATGAGAAGTTGTTCTGCAAATGCTTTGACGGTCTTTTTGGTCACAAAGGACAAGCCATGGGAGGTTGCCAAACGTTGATTATTTAGGTGTTTGGCAATTTTTTTAGACAAATCTTTTGATAATTAAGATGGTCAAAAGATGTAATGAATTTTTGGGGTTTTGTCTTTAAAAATTAAGATTGTTTGGCAAGTATTCGTCTATGTCTACATAACTCTTAAATGAAATATTTTAGATGCAGAAATACATGAAGTTTCATTTGAAGCTTCTATACTGTTTGGTCTTCCAAGTTTTGAAAAGTTAGAAAGACCACACGAAAAGACTTAGGCCTCATTTGGTACGTTTCTTCGCGCGAACTGTCAGTTTTTTAGAAGCTCGGCAGCCTGTGTTTTTGTCTTTTCTTATTTAGTTAGGAGAAAATCTATCCGACGAAAACTGAAGCCCATTTCAGGCTATTTTTGTGAAACTCCAAATGGAGCTTTTCGCTTTTTTTTCAATTTGTCTTAATGCAGAAAGATGCACGAAAAAACGCGTCTTTAAACAATTAAAATCTTAATGTAAAAACTCACATAATCATTTTGATTATCAGGTCTGCCAAAATCTTAAAAGCCTTGCCAAATGGCCCCTTACTAAATGTCACTTAATTAATTTAAAATGGTGTTGCAATTATTGGAAGATTGTAATTGATAACTGGATAATTATAATATTATAAAACAAGAGACGCATCATGCCATTTCTAATAAAATCAAAGTCATGTATTTAATGAGAGTCATCCCTATTGTAAATGAGAAACTGATTTCTACTTACAGCCACCTAATTCTAGTGGTAATCTTTTTGGTATACTTTCACTTATTAAGTGGCACGTGGTTTGTAAGTCTGGCAATGAAAACTTTCTAGATTTTCTCTTCCTTCAACTTTTGTCAAAAATAAATGTAAGTTAATATTTGGAATAACGAATCCAAGGTCACTGAGTTCTACTTTAAAATAACTCAGCTGACAGCTCAGATTATAATATCATGGTCTATTTATAGTTCATTCCTCTCTGATTTTTTTTTTTATATGCAACCCCCCTCCCCCCTTGAATTGTGATAAATCCCCCCACCCCCTGGTGGTCCGGTTGCATTAACTGAGGGACTGAACTGAAAAACTATAATAGAATAGGGACAAAATAAAGTGCAAATAAAAAGCTGCAAATAAAGAGTAACTCCACTTGAACTTGATGGATCCGACAACACTTGAACACAACTTTGGACTTCACAAAGATGATGATACAATCCGAATTGGGCAGAACCTTGTTGGAGGTTTTGATAGCCTTCCAATAAAGTGAATAATTTTGTTGGGGAGGGATTTGTGACTTCTGCACATTCCYTTTTATAGGCGATTGCCACAACGTCTCTCCTATGAAAAAGGAGATAAGAGCCGTTGCAAAAGATTTACTCACCAACACTTATCTTGTTCTATCCCTTCGGATTGAGACAAGTGTCTCAATGATCAAGGTTTTAAACCACATGATCACTCAGCCCATTCTAAGCCAAACATCCTCTTGCTGACTTAGTCAAAAGCTGAAATGGATCCAACTTAGACCCAATAACCACCCTGTGAACAAGTCAATAACAGTTTACAGAAAACAGAAGTATTTTTTTTTACTAGAAAATAAATAATAACATATAACAAAAATTATAATTGGTGTGTGTTGTATTGTGTTCACAGAGATGATATCATTAAGCTACTCCATCAACATGTGGCTTTTCACATGGCCAGTGGATTCTCCTACACGTTGATGATTCCAAATCGAGGGCCTATGGCCACCCGTTCCAACATCTCCCACCTGGCCAGTTAGGCCCGAGATGTTTGGTTGCTTCTCAATCCCATTGACACCACGTGCCTTTCAAAATCACTAACTCCAATGGGCTTTGTCAACGGATCAGCAACCATATCATTTGTCGGCACGTGCTCTACCAGGATCTCATTCCGTTGGTAGATATCATGAAGATACCGGCATTGCAAGTCAATGTGCTTTCCTTTTGGACCAATTTCCCCATTTTTTATCGTCTTGATGGCCGCTTCATTATCATTGAACATTCTAATAGCTCCTTCAGGTGCACCTGGTATTTTTAATTCTTCCAATAACCTTTTTATTCAAATTCCTTATGATGCTGCTGTGCTGCAAGCTATGAACTCAGCTTCCATAGTATATTTGGCTATACAACCTTGCTTTTTGCTTGCCCAAGAAATGGCTCATCCTCCCAGAAGGAAGATGAACCCGATAATAGATTTTCTATCATCCGGGTCTCCTGCAAAATCAGCATCACAGTAACCCATCAATTCTAATTGATCACAAGAGTATGTTAGTCTATAATCCTTGGTTTGTTGTAAATATCTTAGAATTCTTTTAATGGCTGACCAATGTGTAGTTCCTGGATTACTTTGGTATCTACTAACGAGACTAACAACATAAGACAAATCAGGTCTTGTACATAACACTGCATACATTAAACTACCAACTGCTTGTGCATAAGGAACATTCTTCATGTAGCATACTTCTCTTTCATTTCTAGGTGACATATCCTTAGACATTTTAGTTCCTTTGCAAATAGGAGTATCGATTCCATTACAATCTATCATGTTAAACCTTTTAAATATCATTTGTAAATAATTTTCTTGTGAAAGAGATAATGTTTTATATTTTCTGTCTCTTTCTATTTTTATTCCAAGTGCATAACTAGAATCTCCCATGTCTTTCATTTCAAAATTAATACTTAACCAATGTTTTGTTTCATTTATCATAGATATATTATTACTAGCTATTAGAATATCATCAACATATAAGGAGGGTATAATAAATGAACTCCCACTATTCATTGAGTAAACACAATGATCAAATGGATTTGGGATAAATGCAAGTTTTGTGATGGAATTATGAAATGTATAATACCACATCCTAGAGGATTGCTTTAGTCCATATAGAGACTTGTTCAATTTATATACTTTATTTTCCAACCCTTCTCTTATGTATCCTTCTGGTTGTGTCATATAAATTTTTTCATTTAGCTTTCCATTTAAGAAAGCGGTTTTTACATCCATCTGACATAACTCTAAATCAAAATGTGCAACTAAGGACATTAAAATTCTAATGGAAGTAAATTTTGCTACCGATGAGTAAGTTTCATCATAATCTATACCTTCAACTTATGTATATCCCTTTTCTATAAGCCTAGCTTTGTATTTTTCTATAGAACCATCTACTTTTAATTTCTTTTTAAAGATCCATTTGCTTCCAATTGGTCTTCTATTACTAGGCAAATCTATCAATTCCCACACTTGATTTTTATTTATTGAATTTAGTTCTTCATTTATGACTTCTTTCCATTTTTCTTTATCGGGTGCTTTCATAGCCTCCGAATAGCTTATTGGATCATCTATTGATTCTTCATTTAAGAAGGTATAATAATCTTTCAATTTGGAAGAGGGAAACCTTTCTCTTTGAATTTTTCCTAATGTATCATTCTTTGTTGTATATGTTTCTTTTTGTATATCTTCCTTTTCTACTTCAAATAATTGAGTCAAGACACTATCATTTTCATCTTTTATTTGGTCTTCTAAGAACATGACATCCCAACTTTCTATGAATTCAATAGATCCATCAGCTTTATGGTTTATGAATTTGTAACCTTTGTTGTTTTCTGAATATCCTATAAAGGTGCATCTTATGCTTTTGTTATCTAGTTTGTTTCTTAGTTGACTAGGAGTTCTAACATAGGCACTAGAACCCCAAATTTTAATATTATATAGGTATGGTTTTCTACTAGTCCAGATTTCATGAGGTGTCAATTTATTCACTTTAGTTGGTATTTTGTTTAGAATAT